ATAAGTTCGACGGTTCGAAAAGCGTCGAACTTCTTAGCTTAAAAAGTTCGAAAATTCGACCTACGTCGAATTTTACGATATAAAAAATTCGAAAAATCGAAATCTTTCGAACCTTTCGAACCTCTTGATTCGATCATCGAAACTTCGATTCGAAAAAAGTTCGCGGCATCCCGAGTTTTTTTCTTTCTCTACCCCCTCGTGAGAGCGCGGCGTGCCTCCCAGAAATGAAGAAGGTGGGGGGTCTATGATGGGCACCTTTTCGGTCGCGTAGGTCTTCTTGGTAGCCCGCCGACGTCTGTCTGTAGCCGTTGGACCCACTGATTGAGCGCGTCGTCTTCGTTGATCGTATGGTCTGCGGTTGGTGTAGTCGTGCGGTTCTGTCGGAACCCGTCCCAGTTCACAAACCATTGCGGCCGACCACGCTTACGGTTAAGCACGACGGGTACCTTGGTCATGAGAATGAGGTGATGTTACCCCAGGCTCTCCCCGAGGTTCGTCCAAGTGCACTCGTCGCGCGTTCTAGCGAACATGAGGTCCGGACAGGTGTCGCGGCTGGCAAAGTTATCCATCCGAGTCGGTTGGTCGGGCATGTTTAGGAGAGTCAGCCGGGGGACATTAATGGCGCCCATCAGCCGTCTCCCCTTTATTGTGGCCTTGGCGTAGCCGAGCGCGGGGTGCGTTGCATTGAAGTCGCACACCATTACGAGGTCGTGAGTCATCCCGCGGGCGGTGCGTATCGTGTCCCGGAAGAGATCGTCGAACACGTGTTGCGGTCCGCTCAGTGGGCTATGTACGTTTAGTAGAAAGAGGCCTCTATCGTCTCTCCCCCGTGGCAGGAGTTCTAGGAAGACATGTGGCACTCAGCTGCTGAGTGTCTACAATTATCGGGATCTGTTTTGCTACGAGTGTGCAGACGCGAGGTTTGTCCTCCGCGTCCGCCAGTTCCTGGCTAACGCAATGCAGCCCGACAAGGACGGTACGTGATCCACTTCCTGTGGTGCCACGACATCTTGTCTGTGTTCCTGTGTGGCGATGAACCGCGTGATGCTGCCGCGCTTGCGGCGATACCCCCGGCAGCTCCACTGCAACACTCGCGTTGCATTTTCGTTGTTTGTGGTTCGTGTTTGCGAGGAGCTACTGTTCGGTGAACTGTTCATCATGTTGATTGGAATTTTGGATTGGGTTGCTGTGCGGGGTGTGATTGGTGGTGTGATTAGATTGTTGTTTTTTCTGTGGGAGGGTGTGCGAGGGACTCATATAGCGTCGGTTTGTGTGTTGTTGGTTATTGCCCGTTTTTATAATAGTGGTGGTTTTGAGGGATGTTGATTTCCGTGGTGCAAGACGAGTCGAGGGTGGATTCAGGGACTGGACGGTGGTACTGGTGCATTCGTCTTGTTTCGCGTTGGCCGTGTTCACAGTGTGTGTCAATTTGTAGGAAAGGGTTTGCTTTGTTTAGGGGAATTGCTCCGGGGGTCGCTGATAGCGGTCGAGACTAGCTGGGGGAGCTGCTGCACAATGTTTTGCCTTATTTGCTGTTGTACCTCCCTTATCTCCTGCCGTAGATTTTGTCGTACCTCTCTTATGAGAGCATGTAGCTCGTCACGTGGTTGTATTAAGAGCGTTTTGCCTAGCTCTGCTCTGGGCCGCTTGGCCTCAGCTCTAAGCTCTTGTCTGAAGAGTTCTGTCTTTCTTAATGTCCATTTCATTTCCTTACTGAATTCCAAGCTGGGATTGGGCGTATCGCTGTTGTGTATTCGCGGGGATGTTTTGTTCGGTCCCTTCGGTTGCTGGCTTGTCGGTTGCGTGAGCGTTTTTTTTTTTATTTTAGGGGAGGGGGAGGTTGGTGGTGTTTTCTCTCCACAGTAGTAGTGTTAGTGTATCGCAATGGAGGGAGGCACGCGGGACAGGGGGAATGAGAACGGTTTGGAGGCCGCGCTGCCCAACTCACTTTTGCGCCCTTGTGTCCAGTCTCCGTGGTGTCGATATCTGGTTGCTTTTGCTGGTCTGCCCATTGCTGCCATTCATGATGTCTCTGTTGGTTCCGCGATCTGGTCAGGGTGTGGGTCTTGGCCTTGTTGGCATTGTCGCTTGGGCTGCGTCTGTCGCCGTTCCTTTTTGGTGCAGCGTTCGTTTTGGTGTGTCTCGGGTGTCCCAGGGGAGGACGTGAGCTGCTGCAATCATATTCCTTCTCTTCCACGTTAGTGGGCATTGTGGAGTCGAGGTTCTCGCGGTTGTAGCTTGGCAGTTCCGGCCAGTTGTGGCTCGCCGAAGTAGTGTATGGTGGCGGTAGGGGCGATGATGGTAGAGTTCGTTGTTTCTGTTCTTTCTTCCGCTGATAACGCGCGACGTGTCCCTTGTTGTAGGGGGCCCTTTGACGAGCCGGTCAGCGAGGGTCGGTTGCCGGGTGTTCGCGTCCGCAGTTAACGCAGTGCATTCGTCGTCTTTCATGGCGCCAGGTGCGCCGCGCGTATACACTCTAAAAAAGGGTATATTATCACACCCCTTGTCACATATATGAAGCCCCAAAACTTCAGTTGGACGTACAGCGCACTGGCGTTGTACCGACGCAACAAAATTTCACGAGAGGCTTGATAGCCAAGTCGTACAACTTATTAAAATAGCTAATATAAGTGTGACTGACTGAAAAAAAAAAGTTATTGGGGCTTTCTTTGCTCAACCGCAAAAAACTTTGCGGTTTATTTTTTGACCTGTAGACTTTGATACGTACTTTAGCTGTCTAATATGTTATATCGCACCGTCATCAACCCTCTAACAAAAGTTAGAGCAGTCAGTTCGACGTCAGCGCGCTGTACATCCAACTGAAGTTTTGAGGTGCCGTAAATGTGACAATGGGGGTGTAAGAATATACCCTTTTTTTAGGGTGTAGAACAGCCGCTCTGTTCTGGTTGTTGGCAGACGTCGGTGCGGTGTCAAGCACACATCGCACACTTGCTGCCTCGGCTGGTACGGTCGGCAGGGGTATTCCTCGCCCGATAGATACACGTAGCGCGGTGCCGTGATGCCTTCGAAGGTGATCATAGCGGTGTTGGTTTGTCCCATAATCTGGGCATGGGGAATGTTGACCCACGAGGCGCGTATGGTTTCAGTCCGTTTGTCGGCCGTGGGCCGCGTTTCGACACCAGAGATGATGCCCCTGCACGAGTTGTCGGGGACTGACAGGAACGCCGTAATTTCGTATTGCTTGGTGTCAAATGTGAGCGCTGAAATCTGTTGCACACGGGTAGAGAATTCCAAGTTCGACCAGAATTTTATCTCGGCGGATCCTTATGTTGACTTGGGCCGCCTCGGCGTCGGAAAGTCGTCCCGTTGCGATGATGGCTTGCGGGATCTTATCCGTTGTCCAAGCTCTACAAATGAGTCCATCTCTTGGCCGGATGACCACTTTGTAGTCCTCAAGTGGGAGTCGTGCCAGCCTCCTCTGGCGCAGGGGCCTGTATCTGCTTCAGCGGCTTCTGTTTTCTTGATTATAGATGAAAGTGGAGCTTCCCGTTCCTTGACGGGGATACCTGGTAGGCACCATGTTTCCCGACGGGTGATTCCCAGCTACCGTCATCATGTGGGCTACGGTGTAGTTTTGCTAATCTCAGCTGGTGTTTCCTTTTCTGTCTCTCTAGTTGAAGTTGTTGCCTTCACGCTCGTCTGCTGACCACATCCGCCCAGGAAAATTTCTTTTTCTCCTCCTGTTGATGACAGGACATCGATTCTGGGAGGTGTGGCGTCGTTGCTCAGGTCGAGGTTTCCTCCGGAAACCGGTCGCAACTGCTTCATCAGTTTCGCCAGTCCCCAGCCAATAAACGCGTTGGTCCACGGACCCACAGACTAACTTCGTTTATATATGTGATACCCTCAAAAAGAAAAACCACAGTCTACTTGAAGTATATATATGCAAATCATACATTATTTATAGTAATGGTTTGAACAAATGTTTTTTATTTACAAAATACGTATGAAATATATTTAGAATATATTATGTTTGCATTTAAGCATTTCGGCGTATTTAAACTGCATTTATAGTGCACGTTCATTAACAGTATTCTAGATTTAGTTACAAAGTCATATTTTTTGAATATTAGGTAAAATACCAGTGAATATATTTAGCATATTTTTGTGTATCTACAGATATGACGTGTTTTCGAAATGCACTTGAATAACATTTGGGCATATTTCAGATGTATTAATTTTTGCAGGGGTTGTTTTTATTTAGTCACTCAGCGGCCCCCCCCCCCCCCCCCACCCCCCCCAAAGTAAACCACCATATAAAAAAATTAGATGAATTCAAAGCACCTACAAAGCGTGGTTGTGCGTTAAAGTTAGCGCTTCTTCTACAGGAGCGTGGAGCGGAACTGCGAAAAATAACAAACGGAAATCCGGGTAGCATTCGAAGTTGGATGCATCCTCGGAACTCAACAACTAAGCACGCACTACTAGTATTGGCTGACATTGTGGTGTTCATTAATTGACATCACTATTTACAACTAGAATTGCCTGTTCCTTTTGTATTGCAAAATATATAACAGTGCATTTTTGATGAACAGCCATATTATCCTAAGCTAAATACATCAAAATAAATAGATCCCTTAATGAGGACCAATACGATACCTATATTGTTTCTGTGCAGTGCGTAGTCTTTTTCGCAAACATTTTGACCAATGTCTAGCGAAATGCTTCCTAGTCGCCTTATTTGCGTTAAAAATGGCGCATTTTGTTGACACGCCTTTTAGAAGCGCAGCCAAAATTTCATTTATTCGGTAGCTTTCTTGCTATTAACATTCGTTAAATAGTAGGAACCACAGCCGATATTGAAACCTGCAGACTCCGGTTTCGTAGAGAGAGACTCACACTGAGGTTCACTGCCACCTTGGCAGCGAATAAATTATGCGCATATTTTTAACATATTTAAAACATATGTAAAAATATGGATATCTAATACATAATTTTAGTGTTTTCATTGCTGTTAAATACTTTATAACGTTTTACAGGTACCAAGATCTTTCTTTTTGTCAATATTTAAAGGCCCTACAGTCGGGATGTGCGAAAACGGAACATGCATAGAAAAGCGTGAGTACAGACTTCTATGGCGACAGTGATGAGCAGAAAAACCGAGGGAGAGGAGAACATGAGAGCGCGCGGGGATGTGAAAGAGCTAAGCTCTGGTTCGAATGATTAATGGGCAGACCTCAAGTTATCTGTCTTTGTCTCCACCGCACTTGTCGAACGCGAATTAAACAAAACGAAGTGGCTAGTTTACAGAAGGTTTGTGGTGTGGAAGATGTCCTGTTCCCGTCCTCGTCCCCTCTGTTTTATACTTTCAAGTTTCGTATCTATTAACCAACACGCTCTTTTTCAATTGTGGTGTGGGGTGGATGCTATTATGGAGATCTTAGATTTTTATTTGCAGTCCACCTCTGTTTTGTTTGAAGGGAATTATTACGTGCAGAAGGAAGGTATCTGTATTGACTCCAGCGCTGCCTCTGTTCTTTGTGACATATACTTTGCCAAGTGTGACCAAGCCATTCTTTTGAATATTGACGTGTTGCCCGTGTTTAAGGTTTTTGGATAATGGACGACTATTATTGATTTCGAGTAGCACTGTTGGTGTGACTGTAGGTGAGTTCGCACAGACTGTTTTGAATTTGTTTAAGAGGAACTGTTACGGCCTGAAGTTCCCTCCTGAGCGTCAAGATGGCCACTTTCTGTAATTTTTAGATCTACGTTTGCAATACAGAATGTGTCACATTCGTCGGTCCTCAAAGCGCGTACTCAAAAGCTGCTATTGGTTTACGATTCCGCTCACTCAAAGCTAGTGAAGAAGAGAAACGCGACGTCTTGCCTACGTGCAGCTCTTGAGAAGTAGCGTCGTCATGTGATGCATAACAGCTTCAGTGGACAAGTGCAGAGACTTGTAACCGCGGGCTTCCCCTGTTCGGTTGTGCTTAGTGGTGCAGAGACGTTGTTGAAAATGCTTAAAGGTCAGTAGGGTACCCTGTGTTCTTATTGGTGTCAGTGGTCGAAACTAAAGTCCCTCGATATGCTTGCGCTTGTCTTGCAAGTAGCGTCAAATGCGCAAGTGCACGAGGCCGATGCCTCGAGCGGCCCTTGGAAACAAATGGCGGCGCAGCACTGAAATGAGTGGGCCTTGGAAGCGAATGGCGGCGGAGCACCGGCTCATGGCACGTGTCTCGCGCGCTTCCACAACAATGGTTGGCGGTACTTGTAAAAAACGCTTTTATCAAGGGACTTTAGTCGAAACTCTTCTTAAAGAAATGAAGCAAGAGAACTGTGTCAAACAAACACACGGAGACAGGGAAGTCAGCAGGGTACCCTGTGTTCTTATTGGTGTCAGTGGTCGAAACTCTTCTTAAAGAAATGAAGCAAGATAACAGTGTCAAACAAACACACAGAGACAGGGAAGTCAGCGGGTACCTTGTGTTCTTATTGGTGTCAGTGGTCGAAACTCTTCTTAAAGAAATTAAGCAAGAGAACTGTGTCAAACAAACATACAGAGACAGTAAAGTCAGCAGGGTACCCTGTGTTCTTATTGGTGTCAGTGGTCGAAACTCTTGTTAAAGAAATGAAGCAAGAGAACTGTGTCAAACAAACACATAGAGACAGGACACGAAGACCAGTCATCGTCCCTTACCGCTCATTCACACTGGAAGCGGATCCGCGTTCGCAAAGCGGTTGCGAACGCGGTTGTATAAAGATCCAGTGCAATTGCACGCGCACTCGATGACATCATGTGCGCGTGCAATTGCACTGGATCTTTATACAACCGCGTTCGCAACCGCTTTGCGAACGCGGATCCGCTTCCAGTGTGAATGAGCGGTTACATCCACAATTTTTGCCACGGCCTCAAGAAAACAGCGAACAGAGTCAATGTTGACATCGTGTTTTCAGCACCCTCCAAACTGTCCAGCCTTTGCAAAAATGTCACCACACCCTCAAATCCCGCAATCTGCTGCTCCAAGAAGCATAGGACCAACTTTGTGCCTTGCGTTGAGGGGGTTGTCTATTCATTCTCCCTTTCCTGTGGAAGACAATACTTTGGACAAACTGGGCGATGTTTAAATGACCGCCTTCGAGAACACTCAAACAACGTTGTAAACGCTAACTCTGGCCACTTGGGCATACACTCTAGGGATTGTGGGTGTGTCGCGCACTTCAACAACAGCACCGTGTTGGGCAAAAGTGTAAACCAATTAACAAGGGAAACCATCGAAGCCGACAATATCATACGACTAGAGGACAAATGTGTTAGTACGCCGTCGATAACATTATCACGAAAAGAGATTAATTATTTAGCCGCAAATTAGCCTAAGCGTTAGACAGTAATTTTTACTCCTATGTCGTCTTTTTCTATTTGCAAATCGTCTAAAATCTGAAGAAGTAGAAGCCGAAGTAAAAGACGAAATGCAAAGTTGTTAGTGAGCGCTGTGTGAAAGGAGTGTTCTTTGGGTGTGTGAATGCCTGAATGACTGTTTTTCGAGTGCGCTAAACGTCGACAAACTTAAAGGTGGGTCTAATCCCGAGAAGAATAAAATATTTGTGATAGTTCAATGCTTATGCATGACAATGGCCACAAGTGACTATAATTGGCTATGATCATATATTTAAGTAGATAGGTTTCAAACGATTGCATATAACTTTAGATGATAATTATTGAAAAATATATGCTATTTGTCTGTTTAGAATTGGGACGGACTTTAACGGGCTATTTTTGGCTATTAGCACCTAAGTTCTGCCATATTGGGTGGAAATGGCTAGCAATGGCTATTAGTAGGCATTGGTAGCCAGGAGTGATAATGATAGCCTCTAAGAGTCATTCTGGAATATTTTAAGCCACTTTTCTTTATAATAGATGCTAAAGCCAACAATTGCCACTTGAAGCCAGTGTCTGCCATAAGTATGGAATAGCAGAACATTGCAAATAGGTGCCTATGGCCAACCATAGCGAGTCGAAGTCACTCAAATCTGCAAACAAACCAACTTCAAAACGTGTCAATAATAGTCACAATTAAGCACTTACAGCTATTTCAAGCCGATCTCGCAAGGAGCAGTGACCAAAGGTAAAGAATAGCCACTTCAATTATTCAAAAATATTAAAAAGTGCATCATTATTCATATCAGTCAATAATAGCCAGTTTGAAGAAATCTAAGCCAAATTCGTTAAAAATAGCTGCAAAGACCCAACATTCTTTAAGCCAAAATAGCCACGTGAAGCCATAATCATTCCTAAACACCGAAAGAGCGCAGTATTGTAAACTATACTCACAAATAGTCATCGGTAGCAATTTACAGCGAACCGGGTATAAAATTTATGCTACTAGCTAACTATATCCACTGGAAGCCATTCCAGTTCGTAACCATAGAAACAGGCCATAATCATAATTACTAGTTTCAGTATTTACATGTAGCCATTTCAAGCCAATCAAATAACAAATAAATGCTTATAGCGAATAATAGTCAGTTGAAGCCGTTTTCATCCAAAAGAGTGAAACAGCATACAATAGACCGATTTCACCCGCCAGTTTGACCACGCCACCCCTGCCGCAATAAATCAAGGGACCTTTAGCCTTTCAGCAGGTGCGGCAACCTCGCTGGAGCTCTGAGCGTGTAGGGCACGCGACGTCACGAGCGCCCTCGTGCCCTGCGGTCTGCCGTCAGTGACCTAAAGTTCTTACGGTGCCACGCATGCGCCGAGCACTTAGTGAGATAGGTCTATTGTCAACTATATTCGCGAATAGCCATATATAGCCATTCAAATCCGGTCTGATAGAAAATACATGCTCATAGCCAAAAATAGCCACATGAGGCCATTTATGCTTAAAGACACAGAAATAGCTAATAATTATCTATACTCGTCACTTATAGCCATTTTTAGCCAATTCCAACCAATCAGGTCAGGAATATATGCTTATATTCAATATTATAACCAATTCAAGTCAACCAAGTCAATAGTAGGGGCTATAGACAAAAATAGCCAGTTGAAGTCATTCCAATGTATACACGCTCCAATTGCATGAATTGTCAATAATAGTTGCTGATAGCCATGCATAGCCATTTCAAGCCAATCTAATAAAAATCGATGCCAGGGCTCTAAAAGTTACTTAAAAATGTACCTATGATAGAGTTACATATAGTCATATGCAAAGTTACCTAAGTACAGGCATAGCCACTCACTTAAAATGTACCTAGATACAGGTACAGTTATTTCAAAGATACTTTATTTATTTTCCCCAAATTCGTCGGAATATATTGGAAGTAAGGCTTTTTATACTAAGGATACACAGAAACGTGTTCGATAAATGTTTATTGGTGTCAATGCGAGAAATAAGGAAAACCGCATTCACATGACCATTCCAGGACGCGTTATCTTTTTCAGTATGCTTGGGAGAAGAGCGTGTTGGCTTAAGTCATGGACGAAGAAACAATAAAACAATTAAAACAGGGACAACACAACCACATCTTTCAGAAATCTTTTATGCTTTATGAAAGATGTGGTTGTGTTGTCCCTGTTTTAATTGTTTTATTCTTTCTTCATCCATGACATATATCTTTTTCACATAAGTGCTCTATCAGGACCTCCTCGAAGTGTTTATCTGACATCTTCGATCGCAGTTTAGTAGCAGTTGTTTCTCCTGCGCTAAAAACGCGCTCCAGCACCACACTCCTTGGAAGCTCAGTGTTGAATTTTAAGAACACGCTTTTCAGCAACGGCGTGTGCTGGAGTTATTCCAGACTTCTTGCTGGAGCAAGTTCTGTATACTGTACAAATTCCTGCTCCCATGAAGCAGATGCGGATAATGTTTCGAAGTTAAGAAGTGCTCGCAGTCTTCGTCGTCACCACTTTGTTCGCCTGACGACGCTTTGGCCAGTTTTTGGGGAGGGAGATGTGGTGGGGCTGCGGACTGATCATATACATGAAATCTTCGGTGCCTTCGCTGCTTTACCAGCGTTACCTTCATTACACACACTCTATAAAAAAAAAAAAGACTTCCACATCATTTACTGTATCTGAACATTTCCATCCTTTACTTCGGAGTAAACAAACCACTTCTGGAACACGAGTTCTGACATCATCGAGTGAGCGCGAGTAAGTTTTGAAACGACACGGTACGAAACCTTTACTCTGGAGTCGGATCGAGTAAATTTTGGAACAGACCCATAGAAGTGTCATGCCGTCGCCAGTCGCGATCCTGGAGGCGTCCCAATAGCTGTTGTGTATGTGCAGACGCCTGTTCTGTTGCAGGTCGCTCTTTAGTGTGGCAGTCCACGAATCTTCGGCAGTCAGACGCCGTGACGAAAGCGACACTCTCGTTCGCTTGTGCCACTCGCAGCTTTTCGCCAGCATTTCAACGACCAACCGCCAGGATCGCGACAAGCAACAGCATGACACTTCGGCTTTTGTGACATCATCTGCTGCCACTTCTCGACCACTTTTGATGTATGGGCAGCATAGGACGCTAAACTGACACCAGTCGAATACGCGCTCCAGGCACCATACATATATATGGTTTTAGTAACGTTGCTAGAAACTCTCTCGTGCTCTCGTTGACGCTGCGGCTTATGCAACCGGATATTAAACTCGGTCATTTCCCTTGATGGTATTCATCAACAATTTCATCGTTTGCGAGCACAGTTCCGGTGACACACTACTCGTATTCAATATGGGAGCTAATTTCAACTGAAGTGCTCGGAAAAAAGAGGAAACAAAAAAGACTGACACTGTGGATATTGCCGTAACGGTGCTAGGTGGCGCAAGCTGCCGCCGATTACAGAAAGTTTTGCCATAACTAATTTATTAATCCAACCATTCACACACTCAGCTTCTTTGCGAGCATTGGAGGAAGAGAGTGTAAGATATAGTCCACTTTTATTTTCCAACATGTCATGCCAAAAATTAGGATTTAGCCTTTAGAAACTGATAACGCCGAACACACAAGCATGGACAAGTAAGTGAACGAACACGAGGGGCACTGGCAACTGTTTTTTATTCGAAAAAAACAAACAAAAAAAAAGCATGAATAATATTTGCGGAGAGAAGTTTGCGTGGCGCCGCTTGGTGGAATTTTTTAACAACCCAGAGTGAGGATACTTCAACTTCCTCTGCTAGTGCGAGCACGTGCAATGCCAAGCTTCTGTGCACTATAAAAATTAAAACAACCGCGTGGGTAGCGCGTGCACTATCCAGATTGAAGAAAACAGAAGCGCCCCTAGCGAGCTTCTCACCGGGAATAGGCCCACAACAACGTGTCATTAGAGAGTTTTAGTAGATCGTTCCGATACCTCCGATAGCCCCGATAACGATACTATGCATGCACAAGGGAGGCGGTGGCGGAGTATCGGGTATCGTTATCGGAGTCATGGGAACGATCTACTAAAACTCTCTATTAATCACCGTGTCGCTGGATTGCGTGTCCCTAATATATTCAAACTCTTTCTTCAATAGGGAAAGTGACGCTTCACTTTTACAATCTGCTCCTTTATCCCTGATTCCAAACACTTCATGCAGCTCTTTGCTAGTTCTATCATAGTACCGATAAAAAATCTTAATGTCATGTAGAACAGGGGTACATGGCACTCTGTTGCAATGAATGGCAAGATGACCAGACGGGCTGGTTTGCGTTGCTGCGTCATGCTCGCGGGCGCGGCCATTTACGCATCTGCCCACCTGGCCAATATACTCAACGCCGCATTACAGAGGTATTTTATAGAGAACTGCTGAGGCACACGCAGCAAATTTAGTTCTGTGCTTTTTGCTGCAGAGATCAGACTGTTGCCTGGTGCTGTTGATTTTGTGGCAAAGTCGAACCATCTGACTTGGAACTGAAAAACTTACAGGAACGTTGGAACTTTCCTGTGGTTACTCTTTAAAGACTATGAACCAACTAGCCTACCTAATCACTTTGCTTTAAAATGTATCCTTCCTGATCTCGCGTTCTTGTTTTCCTTTGGTCCCATGACCTATATGCAGTCGTTAAATTTCTGTCTAAAATCGTTTAAAGGGTAACTCCGCTCGATTCCAAAAAAATTAGGCTTACATGTGATTCAAATTCACAAAGCGCTACTAAACAACTCTACGTCTTCGGATTCGCGAAATGTGGAATATTATTTGTGTAATCCTAATTTAAACATCAGCAGATACCGAAACCGAAACTTCGGTTGCGTCAGGCAACATTGGTCTCGGGTCGTCAGAATCATGGCACGTCACGTCGAACCACGTGGTCTTGTTCTTGTGACGTTCGGGAGGGAGCGAGAAACAGGACACGCGACGCTCGGGCAGGTCTTTTTTTTTTCTTTTTTTTGTTGGACGCGGGCAGGTCGCTTCGCATGGCGTGGACGGTGATGGACCGGGGGAGAGGGGGAAGGGGAGAATACGAAAGAGGAGAAGGGTAGTGGAGACACAGACCGATAAGCGCGCAGGGCAACGCAAACTAGCGCATCCGTGTTACGGTCATCACGTGAACGCCCGGTCAGCCAGCACCGGGAGGAGAAACTCATGACGTCATCGTTCAATTTCGCTCTGAGAAGTAAAAACAAAGAAAACGTGAGGATGACGTACACATGCCTCTGACGTAGTGGCTCAATGTCGGCTGCTCCAACTCCGTGGCATTGACTGCGCTGATGATTGCGCCTCGCGCCGCACGCTAGAGTTGGCAGATTTCGGCGACTTGGCTCGCTTGAAGGTTTGCTGGCCAGTTTATTAAATATATAAACGGAATTAGATCGTAATATTTGGCATGGGGTCTTCCTATATGATACTGAAGAGGGCCACATAGTTTTCTAAATATCAAAAATGAAGCGGAGTTGCCCTTTAATGGTTTTTTTAATGCATGACACGTGCCTTTAAGATGGATAAACAATGCTGAAAGAGCGAACAATGAAAATTAAAAACTATACAGAACTAGTTCTATTTAATGTATGTTAACCGACTCGCTTCCGCTTTGATTTCTTATATACTGCGTCTAATTAAACCTGTTTCTTCTTATACACCCACAGTTGGGTCGATGACATTACTGCATGTCTGGGTCCTTTTATTGCGATCAATGTGTTGCAACTATTTATTATAAACTAGGGCACCTTCCTTGTCATTAGCTTAATTTCAACGGTCTATTTATGTGATTTTGAAGTTACTGCAAGAGTAAATAAGGCTACTAATTAAAATGGTGACCAGGAAGCGTTACTAAACCAGCGAACGAAAAAAGTTAATTAGATTTAATTGAAGTTTGGGGATTTAGCACCTTCACTGTACCACAAAAGATCCAGACCTATCCACCAAACTCCAGGTTTTTCAATAACTAAAACTGAGGATTTACATTATTTCCCCTTTACGCGCACGGTTATCAAAATGATTGGCGAGAACTATAAATAACTGAAAGCCAGCTATACAGCAGTCGAATCTAGCATTTGAGGCATTCAGTGAAGGAAACGAATGACAATGTTCCGCATCAGTTTCAGATAACTTTTTTTTTTTAATGTCAATTCGAGCAAGCGTACTCTGGGTGGTGGAAATAGGTTCACCTCAAAGCGACTAAATGGAAGTTTCTCTTTTTAGTTGCTCTCTTAATCCTTGTCTCTTTACTTTGACCTCTGCTTTTTAGGCGTACTATTGTAATTTGTTTTTCCAATCAACCAACAAATTGTACTAGTCGAAAAGTGTAATCCGGGACCCGTAATGTTCCGCATCTATATAGCAAAAAGGCTAAAGGTGTCATAAGAATAGTTAAAAAAATCAAAAATAATTACACATCTCTTTTGTAATTAAGGCTCTTATAGGAATTACGTGGAGACATAGTCCTAATTATAAATGCAAGTAGAACAATTCACAGCTCATTTGTTGTTGTATTATATAGATCATACATTTTACAATCTGCATGGGAAAATATGTGGAAAATTTTCAGTAAAACCATATTTTACTAAAGTGCCATCTGGGTGAAAAGCGAACCATATTTCAAAATTGGTTTAGCCTGAATTTTAAAGCAAAGTGAGTTCTAAACGAAGTGAAACAAAAACGAGGTCCACGTTTAGGTGCCATAAGGTTTGCTAGCAATGTATGAGAAGGATTATGGCAAGTGTAATAACAATTGCTCAACTACCAAAGGTGTCTTGTACTTCAAGATTGTGTTGATAAATTAAAGTGAAAACGGATTTTGTGTTTGGAAGGGCCCCTTCATTAAACAATGTATAATAACGTTGTGGAGGCACTCAGAAAAAAAATATTAATCTTCTTCCAGATCCAACCGAAGATGCATGTGGAAGGAAGGTACTCACAGTCAATTCAGGAGTGAGTTCGTTGAACATTGCATTTTATTTCGAGCTGAAGATGCTCGTTCGTAAAATTTATATCGCACACCGTGGAAGGCGAAAATGACCTCGTCAGCATTCTTACTGTGCCAGCACTCCTGACAAGATAAATTAATAATAAAATACGGTGACGCTTTTCGCTATAAAACATGAGCGAACAGGACAAGGTTCCTTAAAGATTGGTGGGAAATCACGCGTTTAAATTGGGTGTCAGTATCAGAGGGTGTCAGTATCAGAGGATGACACGACAATCTTATTGGATTTCTAGATTTCTAGATTCGGTCGCTTGTCTGATGAGTAGCACCGTATTGGTATGATTGACTATTAATGTTTTTTTTGTAATATAACTGACGACTGCTTAAAATATTGCTCCAATTTTGGCAGCTTTATAGTTGATCCGACTTTAAAATAAGAAATAAATTTACTGCGATTATGTTCGAAAAGCGTAAAATACAAAGACGCCAAGTTCCCGGCGTCTTATCCATATCAAGAGGGAGCACACACTGCATTAAATACGTAGCTAAATCGGAAGCAACATAGGCTGAACTCCAAGGAGCAAATTATGCGGCAAATAACTGACGAACATCGCCGACGGCACGTTCGCTTTGCACGCGACGTAGCAGCCACTGTGCTGATACCACGTGCATAGCAAAAGCTGCCGGGCAAAATTCGTCGATATATTGCAGCATATTCGCTCCATGGAGTCCATCCAGCCTTTACAAAATCATGTCCCGTGAGTTTTGGCATGGACAAATCCCAAATGTGAGATACACCTGAAGAATGCGTCAGGAGCTCCTTCTACGCCTCTTCACCGCTAATTCCTCAGCTATGCGCAAATAGTCCCCTATGGCAGCGCATATCACGCTGACGTCTAAGGAGCATCGGTGAATGCTGTCCAACCGCAACGATAAGAGATCCCGAAGAGACATCCTTGTTTTATACCCTATTCACACGAGCATAAAGGTCCCTTAAAGGGGTATTCACACGAGGGAGAAATCCCGGGGATTTCTCCCCGGCACGCGCATTCCACGACGAAAACGTCAGGCTTTGCGATGTGCAAAAGCCTCGCGTTTTCATCTCGTGATGCGCGCGTGCCGGGGAGAAATCCCCGGGATTTCTCCCTCGTGTGAATACCCCTTTAGCTAAGGGACCTTTATGGCGAAAGGCGAATCGGTTCGCGATCCTCCGCGCGTGGCATATGCTCGCGATCTACTAGCACGGGCTGATTCGCTGGCTGCAAAGGGACCTATGTTAAAGGTACCTTTATGCTGGTCGTGTGAATAAGGTATTAGAGCGCAGCTCTTAGGGGCCCGTTTCCAGCCTGAGCGGCGTCGCCGTCGGCGTCGGTGTAACCGAGGGGGGGGGGGGGGGGTCACGTGACCCCCCCCCCCGAGGTCACGTGATCCCCCGAGGTCACGTGACCCCCCTCCCCCGAGATCATGCGACCCCCCCGGGGTCACGTGACTACCCGCAGGTGACGTCACCCCCCTCAGTACCCTTCCCTACTCCTCCTCAAGAGCTGCGCTCCAATTCGGCGTTAAAGGGATCTGTAAACGGCTTTCATTTTTAACCAAACAAGCACAGCAATCCACCTCGTGCTGCGCTAGTGTCCGCGGTGGTGTCTATTTGGCCCCAGTCTTAAACTAAAATTCAGTACTAAAAAAAAAACGATTAAAACAACATTTCACAATAACAAATCTCAAATCGATTCCTTAACATTTTGGTGTCCAATGACAAAGACGACCGTTCTTAAGCATATTGATGTATGCATTTCTGGTGCGTTGGATTAATAGTAAGGAATTCCTTTATTCGTGGGTACCAAACCATTTTTTTATGTTCTGTGCAGGTCAATATTGATACAAGTTGTACACTTACGTGTAAAAATGGCACAACAAAAATTGTAGAAAATGGAACACAGTGCGTGGTAAGAAAATTGGTTTTAAGTTTCTTGTATTAGCTAATGTATACTTGAAAAAGAAATAATAAGTGATTCCCACACCACGTTATAAATTTCCGTGTTGTCCTTTACATGTGTTTAGCTCATGAAATATTCTTGTGTTGAAGCAGTGTTTTCAGTATTTTTTTATCTTCTTAAAAATTAGTGGGGGGGATCGGTGGCCAAGTGCGTTTGAGCATCGATGCTTGGTGGAAGCACGTGGAGGTAAAGCACACATTTCAGAACCTAGGGACCCTGTGTTCAACCCCGCGCCCTGCCCGTTCTGATCTGAATGAGCATTGTACCGGCGCGCAGCCGTGTATCGCTACTGCACGATGCACGTTAAAAAACTCAGGCTAGCAGTCGTACTGCACTGGCTAAAGTTCTCAATTGCAGCGTAAACTAGCGTCGCCATACATCAAACGCGGACCGACCTAACAGTGTCTAAACACGAACTTCTAATAATGTTTGGGTAAAAATTATTTGCTAGAACTAAAGGACATTTATTTTAACACTAGAGAGTATTTGTGTAATTTAATTATTTAGGCGAGTATTTAGACATATCTGTTTCAGTTCCCCAGTATCATTTCTTCGCGAAGCAAACCAAGAGCTTGAAAATGGAGCCATCATGATCTGAACGAGGATTTGCGTAGGTCACAGGACGTGAACTGTCCGACTCCACTTAGCGGGAAACTTGGTGCCTCGAAATGCGAGAAAGTTCAAGTGTAATTGTTTTTCTTTATTTTGAAAAGATGTAAGAAGTAACGTAACTACGTAAATCCACTCTCGAAATAAGTAATGCAATTATTTGTTAATGTTCTGAAAAATGTAACCAGTCCTCTACGACGTTACAAAAATGTAACGCGTTACCGACACGTTTCTGCCAACACTGCGTGCACTGCACATCTAAATTTAGCAGGGAAGTAGATGTCAGGCGACGACCATGGTGTCACTTCTCACCACAACTTTAATACTCCTCTAAATTTAGTACGATCTTTCATGTTACGCGACGTCATGGCTTCACGCGACATTACGATTTGGAACCGTAGTAGGCAGTTTGCGGCTACATTTGGTTGAAAAATTGACATCACGTGACCTGGCGCCACATGGTATGGTCACGTGACGAGGAGCCATAAAATCTCCTGACCAGACCGTTTGACTCCGTGACGTAACGTGACGTAAGGTCACGTAACACCTCGGCGTTACGTCACCTGCCCAAGCCGTGAGAAGTATGCTTATGGGACCCGACGTCACGGCGTCGTTGTGGTGTCAGGTGATACCAATGTTACTAGATTCCTTCAGTTGTGGAACTCCCACTGAAGGGGGTACCCCCCTCAATTACTTCAGTCCGCCTCCTGTCGTTTGATGTGCCACCTGGATTTTCTTTTCATAACTGTGTGTCTCAAAGAGTAGGGTGGAACGCCATCTAGACGCTGCGCTTCGAAATGTACGTATTGCATAGAATACACTGTAGTTACCACAGCAGCCGCGTGGCGCGTCAAGCGACGGGAGGCGAGTCGTGGTGAGTGAGGGGGGTTAGGGGGGGGGGGGGGGGGGGGGGGTTACTGCTCGTGCAAGCAGCGTCTATGAGCAGTTACGTAAATCAGTTAATCGGATAACATTGATTGATACAAAGACGTCACGTGACGTCAGGTTATATGTCGTCAATTTCCCTGCAATCTTTAGTAGGTAAATTATTAAACAATATGTTTTTCACTTCCCAAGACCAATTTAATTTCTTCTAAAAACATTCATACGATGCTCTGAGCTTCATAGCCACCTCATGGATTTCATATTGTAGATATAAATTATATGCATTACAGAATCTTGAAGGTAAAGGTAGCTCATATTTTTTTTATGCGCCGACATTCTGAAACACTGCAAAAATATTTCCAACGTTATTTATAAAATTAATTGTGAATACTTAAATTAAATAGTATGACCGATATTTCCAGCTCTTCAAGAAGCGTTTGTACTCCGCCTTTACTCAAAAATAATGTGTCAGCTCGCTCAATACCTGTATTTATTTATTTTGTCCTCGTGTACTGACGACAAACACTACTAACTGGTTTTTATTTGTCATTACGTTACCCGATGTTATAGGCGCTTCCGCAATCAAAGATATCATTGTGATCGAGCAGAGGCCGTAATTTTAACGCAAATAATAAATTATAGACGTCATACGTGACAAAAATATTTATCTTAGATAAAACTGACAACCTAGGATAAATAAGGCAGCTATGGACATTAATGATAATCTATCTTACTTGTCTTCACTGTGCGTAAAATGGAGGCAACTTGGCATAGAACTAACACACGTAAGACATTTCTTGAACTTTTAAATAACCTCTAAGATCATCGCTTTTTGTAAAATTGTTTTTAGCAGTTTCTCTTTTCTGCAAAACTAGTTTATCATATGCCCAAATAATTAAAAACAAATTGTTACCGGTACTTACACGGCCGATGACAGTTGTTGACACTCCATATTTTTTGGAACTCTGATTATCTTTGCAGTTTCAATCCAGAGGAAAACGTCTGTGGCCCCGTTTTTGGCGTTCGACTGTATTGGTCAAGGAAATTGGTGTTTGTTTTAATGGACAGTGTGTTCAACGAGGTGAGTATGAGGGCCTATTCTCGTGGATATGAGCGAATATTGTTTCAAGTGATACTAATTGCTATCAAGGCACCAACTTGGTTTTACTTGACATTTGCACCATGACAATCCGATAAATTATTTTTCTTTCCATCATATTTCTAAAAATGGCAACTAGGTAACCAGAAGCTCCTTAGGTGCCAAAAAAAAGCTAAATAATACCCTACCAGAATAGTATAAGCTAAACTTCATAGCCACCGCACCTGTGTAATTTCAAAAATAACAATTCCGTGCTTAAAAACAAGGACTCACTGAAAATAATTTAGTTTCTAGAGAAAATGCTAGACGTCTAGAAATGTGCACGTTCCTCAATCACAGGAAACCAACAAAGATGTCAATCCGCTTTGAACTTAAAACTAGCCTCTACTTTTTTCTATATATCAATTCATAAAAAGAATTAAGAAAACAAAGCATCACGCACCGAATTAATATTATGTCGGCGCTTCGTATAATTCTGTACAGCCATCAATCCTCTAACAACGCGAAGTCCGGTTATCGGTATTAAAAAATAAAGTAAAATAAGAAATATAAAATATTCTAAATATGTGCATGTTGATGCCCACGTTACTACTTAGCCTACATAGTTTTCTTGACTTATCCCGCACTTTCTCTTGATATATTATAACTCATTCACAAAGCTTTTTTTTCTTGCTTTTTTTTTAAGCAGCTTCAAAGTTTTGATTGTATTAAAAAAGAACAAGTAAAAAATCGCACTGTTTAAATATTTCAAAGAACGTTCCTGAAGGCCCTGAAGTGGAGCCAACAATTTGCTCTCTTCTTTATTAAAAAAAAATAAAGTTTGTACGATTATATACTGGTTTATACAGGTTCATACCGGTCACCCCTATCATATACCGGTTTTCGCTTCATGGATACGGGTCACCCAATATCGGACGGCGTCCGCCAACACGGGTGTCTGGTCGTCATTAGAGGGATACAGATAACACCGGTACGACGCTACTGTCGAAACATGGTATAAGCAAGCGGACGGTATCCTCATACCGGTACCGGTATCTTAATAATGGTGACCAGTATTGTGTTCTAGTGGTCTGTACCTGCGGGTTAATGGGCTGTACCAGAAGGCCAATGGCCTGTACGGCCAGGCCCGTATGTCTTACGGGTATACCAAAACAGCATTTCGAAATTTCACTTGGAATTCTCTCTGCAGATATCTCACATTCAGTGTCCATTTTCATTAGCCTTTAAGAATGTCGAATTAGCTTTCGCACACGGTGTCCAAGCAAAGCGTTGGCCGCCACTCTAAAACTCCCGGGAGTCTTTTTTTTTTTTTTTTTTCAAATCCTCCCAGTCAACCTTTATTACATTTATGCAATGCATCGTTTTGTTCTTAAAATATGCTACCAACACACGGGTGAGCGTTATTTGTGAAAGAGCAGATAAAAGTTCCAGATGTGTACACTGCACGATAAATTGTGTCACCACTTATGCAATGAAAAGGTTAACCGGAAATGCCCCCACGCTTTGTAGAAGAGTCAAAGGGACCCTGGACTTAGAAAGTAAAGAACAAGAAGAAACATATTATAAATGCTTACGTAGGGCGAGTACAATCCCAAATGAAAAAAAAAAAAAAAAAAAAAAAAAAAAACGAACGACGGAGCGACAGCTTCTTGCGCTCCTCGCTCCAGTCAACAGTGTTCACCGAGAGTTCTCGTGGAGCTCCTGTGCTCTAAGAAAATATAGAGCAAAAAGGTATCAACGGCGCGTCTTATCCCCTTCTACTGACGCGTCCCCAAGCGGACAAAAGAAGAAGGGAGGAACGAGACTTTTTTCTCCTTCTCCAGGCAGACAGGGGAAAGCTTTTGCCATCCCGACTAAACTTCTTTCGGTTCGGTTTTTTAAGCACGTTGCGCACATTGCTTAAAAAATGTTGAGTTGATCGAGCTTCAGTGGCAGCGAAGGCCGCCTGTAATTGCGTCTTCTAGTCCAAACGTGCAGAACATTTCGGTTGTATCGACGTTTTTTACCACTAATTTATCAAACGAGCAAACGAAGCCGCTAAAAACAGCGAAGTTCCGGAGCATTGCCAGCAGCGCTACGTACACTGGGTAAGATGGCCGTCTCTGGATTGCGGGACCTACACGGAACTAAACTCTCTAGGCCACTGTAGCGGAACCACGCGGAACTGTGTCGACGATTTCGGCGTTGTGGAAATCGCAGGAACTGCGTCCAAGACAGGCAGGTTTTGCTGCCAGCTGCCTTCCGTGCTGAGTTCGGTAGTGTTTTCCGATGCCAAGTGCCAACCGGCATTCAACGTGGCTCTGTATTTCTGCGCGTCAGCAACATAGCAGCAGCATCGTGATGGCAGTGTTGTGCGTTGTGAGCGAAAGACTGGAATCATCATAGATGTGACCGTGTGCTCGCATATCAGTGGTGTAACAACAAGATGAGATGACGTAAACTGGTCGGGCATTGATGCGGCTGGTTGGGCCGTGATCGGAGGGGGCAGGCTGTCGCTGGTTGACATTCCGCTTTACATTAAAGAGTTTAAGACCACTTGAGGGATTATGTCCAATCAATCGACGTGCGGATAGCCATGTTGGAGAGCTGGTCTGAACCGTAAGCTCCTATCGTACAGTGGCCAATGTGACTCTCAGTTGTTTCCTCCCCGAGAGCGGTTGTGCTATGGGGAAAGGACTGAACAGCACGAAATTATAACGGAAAGTACGTATATTTACAGTGTGAAATTTTAGCATTAAAAAAGAATAATAGGTAAAATCGAAAAAAGCTATCCTTTATTTTGCTGCTTAAAGGGCTACTCCACCGATTTTTTCATTGTCTCCGATTTGCTTGAAATTTTGCTAAACTAACCAACAAACATCGCGAAAATAGTATCCCAAATATTAGGTCAAAATATTGTTTTTTCGCGAAGTTATTGAATTTACAGTTTTGGTCCTCACCGTGTTTTTCAAGCTCGAAGTCTCTACTGGCAACAATGAAAAAGTGACGTCAGTGGAAGGCAGGGGTTCACTCTTTGGGCTGTAGATTTTGTTTTAAACTGATTCGAAGCAGTTTCATGGTGTCAAATGAATGCTTGGGAAGCTCGCTGCAGTACCCGCGCTCCAGCACGGAACGAATGATTGGCATATTCTATTTTTTGGCTGCTTGCTCGACTGGCAAGCCTGCCTGCCACTGACGTCACGGCCCCGAAAAGCGCGCGTATATTTGAATGTTGGTTTTTGCATCATTTTCATTTGCCGATTTCGCAATAACTAATATGAATTTCGCGATTCTAAATAGCATACCGGAGAGAGTAAAGGCCGGGGAGTCAGAAAATATAGTTAGTTGAGGTAGCTCAAAAAATCGGTGGAGTACCCCTTTAAAGGGCAACTCCACTCAAAAAGTCGACCCTATCGAAATTACTGATATCACTTTAGGAGGTCAAAATACGGTCATACCCAAAATATCACGTCAAACCGACGCCGCATTACTGATTAAAACCAATATTAAAAATGGTTTCCTGGCTCGGTTAGCGGCACGAAAGCGGGTGAGCAACCCTGGAACCGGGTGAGCTAGTGAAGCAACACTGGGCAATGACGTAGGTTTAGTCCTACGCTCTCGTACGGACACCGCGAACGCTTCATTTTCCGTGGCATTCTGCGTTCTGCTGACGGCAAGAGGTTCTTACCACGTTGTCCTGTGTTCTCCTATTTTTATTAGCGTCCGGGCAGTTCGTTTAACTACAGCATTGCTTCCGCGACAGCGCGGGAGATAGCGAAGCGGTGCTGCTCGCTCACACGCGTGTCGTGGAGCCGGAGAGACTCGCCGGACTCGCGTTGGGCAATGTCGAGCACGACTTGTAGTGCTGTGGGTTGCACCAACAATCCGGTGCGCAACCCGGCGGTTCCACAAGTTCCCAAAAGACCGGAAGAGGCACAAGGTGTGGGTGGGTGCCGTTTGCCGGATAGACTTCGGAAGACCGTTGACTCCGAGCTCCAACGTGAAGCTCTGCTCCCAGCACTTTACGACAGACGCCTACACACAGGATCTGCGGCTGCTGACTTTTGCGGGTTTCTCCACGATACACGCGTCTTTGAAGAACGATGCGGCACCGTCGCTGTTCGCGTACCGTCCACCGTCTGTTCCAGCACGATCGGCCGGACGCAGCAGGTCGCGGCTGATCTAACTAGCGTGCACATAAAGGCACCTTAGTTTTAACAACTTAGACCGCTTATCTGTCCATCCATCTCCCATTATTTATTTTGCTCTCGGTACGCGAGCAAGAAACAAATACAGTTACGCTGCGCCGGCACTGACCGCGTCATATTTATAGGAGTCGGATTCGCTTTTCGGCCGGCATATTTATAAATACGCACTAAACCAACTACATTTGCTGCATATTAACAAAGTGAAGCGGTAAAAAAGAAAATGTGCAAATTACCTTCTGTTTTGAAACTTCACGTGCGACTGAGCCGACACTGTGGGTGCATCGGCTCAGGAGCTCGGCACTAGAACTAGGTCATGCCGACGACACGCCATAATATTAGTGTTGCCAAGCTGCGTCAGCCGGTAGTTTCGATTTCGCCGTGCCGCCGGAACGATACTTGGATTCGCGATATCTACAAAGCTATACACACTACCGAAAAACAAATTATATATCGTGATTCAGGCTCGCCGACTTCGACTAAACAGATCATGACCCAAAAATTGTAAAAGTGGAGTGGAGTTGCCCTTTAAATATACTACGGTTCCTGGAGGAACTGCCCTTCAAGTGGCGCGCTGGGATGAGCGCTAGAAGTTTTCAAGCTCGCCACAGCGTAGATGTGTACACTTAACATCTGCCGCCAGTCGCGGCTTTGACTGCATTCAAGTTGATCGAAAAGCGATTTTTCTGCCCGTGAAGCATCACTTCCAGCTGAGTGAATATCCGCTCTACAGAAATTAATTCAAGACGGCCATTGTAGCCGTGCGCGAACGGCACAAATAGAAAAAAAACAATCACT